CTGTAACTCTGTCACTTTGACATCGTGAGCAGAAGGTGTGCTAAATTTCTGCCCCGTTGTTTAAGTTCGCAGCTTGAACACCTGGTCAGAAATGAGGCAGATAGACCAGGCTGTTACGGATCAGGTTTTTTCTACGGAAGATCTCTCAGGGTCTTCCTGATCCACATGACAATTGTCATGGGTGAATGCGGAGCAGTTGTTAGGATCCTCCCCCCTTCCAATCCCATCCTGACTCCTTCCCAATTTTAAGTGCTAAGTGCCTTAAGTAGTGTCTTTTTTTTTGGTAATGATTTTTCGTTACGGTCACCGCGCATTACTCACGTTTACTCACCATGCTCACGTGCGCCTATTGATGTTTCACATCAAAAAAGGTAATAAACTAAAATCTTGTTAATGCACAAGGAATGGGCTTTTATAAAAAAAAAAAAAAGTCTACTAATAGCAGAATTAAGCTGTTTTTATGACTGAGCCCTAAAACAGACTGCCTGCTCATAAGCTGCTGGCCTTGTTTCTGTTATTTTCTTTTTTTCGGAACCTTTCAGCCAATCGCTTACACTCTTGAAAGCTTACAATTAATGTCTTTAAATATATACTTGCATTTGATTGGTAAACAAATTTGAGCCGGACTTTGTAGCGCAATATTTTACATAAAGCAAAATACTAAGCAAATTTTTTCTAGAATTATACATACTAACATTAGCTATTTTACCAGACCTACGTTTAAATAACTTCAGACGATTGTGTGCTTATGATAAACGTAAATTCAAACGTAATGTACACGATATATTAGTCAGTTAAAAACATGATAACCTTAAAGAAAAAATGAATAATCGAAAAGCAAAAGGTTACAAATTTTCTTCTGTGTGCTTGCTCAATAGCATACAGATCAGCTTGCTTACTTCAGACACAAGCGTATACATGCGACAGGTATGAGCAAATAATGTACGATAATTAGACTTATACTGTTTCAGAAATAACACTCTTCTAGCAATAGTAAGAATGTATATAATAATAACAATGATAGTAACAATGAATAGAAAATGAAAAGTAATGGGACAAAATGTTTTCACGACAACATAGGTGATGAACTTTGAATTCCAGAAAACAAAGTCAACTTTTTCGAAAGTTTTTTATGAGAAAAATATCCATGTGTGGTTCTGAACTAAAAATTTTACGTGATAAGCCAACTTTGGGAAAAAATTACGATAAAACGTACTAAAAGACTTTGGGAAAGTACCGGTAATAAATCGAATTTTTTTGGACTGTGCCTGTACAATTGAAGCGTTATGGATAAGTTTGCCTTATTATGGATAAAAAATACTTATCAAAACAACTTTTTTCTTACTTAATTAATTCAAATATTAAGTTCTATCCCTAGAAAATCCCTTTTTTTATCCATAATAAGGCAAACTTATCCATAACGCTTCAATTGTACAGGCACAGTCCAAAAAAATTCGATTTATTACCGTACTTTCCCAAAGTCTTTTAGTACGTTTTATCGTAATTTTTCCCCAAAGTTGGCTTATCACGTAAAACTTTTAGTTAAGGACCGTACATGGATATTTTTCTCAGTAAAAACTTTCGAAAAAGTTGACTTTGTTTTCTGGAATTCAAAGTTCTTTACCTATGTTATCGTAAAAACATTTNGAATTAAACACAACGTAATATGATATTCATGAGTTTAAGACAAATAACAGCTAAGGAACTGTTTAAAAGAGCTAAATCGCTCTTGTGGGGGATGGGAGGTAAAGGTAAGAACGTGTATGTGCACAAGAAGCCCTGATGACGTCTGCTTCACTCACCTAGCCCAAAAACGTCTGCTCTCTTGGTTATGAAAAACGCATTTATATCCAACCTGACAGTATGCTTTGGTGTATGCGTAATATGCTTAAAAATAATTATTGAATGTTTTTCAAGGTATCTAGTTTATCATAGTTTAAATTAAATAGCATAACTATTTTTTATGAAGGGAATAAGAGATAAGGAATGAACAGCGTAGGAAATCTGATCTTCTTTGAGAAAAGAGTGCTATAAATTTTCGAAATAAGACATTTTAATGATGAAGCATTGAAGAACAGAGTCTTAGGGAGGGCTTTACCAAGTTCTAAATAGTTATTTTTAGTAGAATATCTTTTAAAAGCAGTTTTTTAAAAAACTATCATGTCAAATGGAAAGTCGGGCTGATGGCAAATAGTATAATCAGTGCATCGTTGCGTCCTGCATGAATGTAGCATACGAGCTGAAAACTAAATTTGTTTACGTTTTTGCAATCATGTTGATAACTGCAAATGCGATTTTGCTAAATTATGACACTTGTGTCTATAATGTTATTATTAACATTTTACTTTTTTTTAAACTTTTTATCGCTACGTCAAGCATAGTTGGTATTTTTCTGAGACTTTTTCAAAACTTACGTTTGAGTCCATTACAAAGATGATGAAAAAAGGAAGCTACGGATTTTTTTTCTCTTAGCCTGCAGACGCAATTTTATTTAAATTTGGTTACTTTATCCATGTAGTTTTTCTCTACTACATTTTTTCAACATTTTTATCGTTAAGTAAGTTAAATCTCAACTCTTTTCAATTTTTTTATATTTATGATGCATTTCCAATTATAAGGTTTATTACAAGCATGCCCTTAGGCAAACAAAATAGGATCCTTAATACTCCAAAGCAAACCCACAATATATCTTCTTGAAAAGTGAAAAAAGCTAAAAAGAATCAGAAGCTTATTCCTGAATTAAAAATTGATGGCAGTGGGAGTAACATACCAGAACTTGCCAGAAAAAAGATATGAGAAAGTTTTTGTTAAGGTCGCAAAAGGGCAAAACTTTCTTTAGGTCTTTATAATTATGAAGTTGGATTAAAAGCTGAAAATCTTAGTGAAAGAGTTTACCACAACTAAGAAGGGAGATCTTCTTCGCAAGATTAAAAGAGTATAAAAAAGAGAATCTTTAGTCAGCAGTCTGAAAAATACCGTAGAAAAGCTAGAATCAGTTAAGAATGACAAAAAAGGGTTATGCATAAAATATGAAACTGAGATCTAATTACAGAAAAAGAAGAAGTTATTGTTAAAGATTTCTTGATGCTCATTACGACGAATAACAGTGATACTACTGAAAACGTTCACAAGAGGGCAAAACGTAGCAAGTACTGAAGAGTGCAATGCCTTAAGTATAGAGAAGGTAAGGAGTTTACCAATAGGCTTTACTAGTTACTAAGTGAGGAAACGTTTTAAAGTCCTTAAACACTACAAAGGCCTGGGATATGAGCTCATAGTTTAGAATCCTGGTGAGGTAGACCAGTCAAAGCTATGCTTTTAATTCCTAGCCAGGCATCTCAGAAGATAAGTCTTAATATTTTGCTTGATATTTAGTCTGTAATATTATTCAGATCATAGCAGAAATCAACATTTTCATGAAGACTCAGAGTCATACTCAAAGAAGGAGCTTATAACTCCTTCTAGCATACGTAATTGCAATCTGAATAACATTGATTAAAGAAAAATCAATATTAATAACAAAACTTGTTATTCTAATTATTATGTATTGTTTCATCAAGAAGTAATAATTTTATAAGTATTTTTATGATAGTTGAAGACAATTCCAAAATTGGAGAAGCTAACTTAAATAATAAAGAAAATACACATTCTTAAAAAGTGTCTTATTGACTCTAAATCTGAAAATTTATATTATTTCCGTGTTCTACTTTCGTGTTCCCTTTCCCAAAACTTTCCTTTCTATCTGCTCCAGCATCATAAAATACTGACAGTGCGTACTGGGCAGGTTTAAAATATGTGAGCTACAATTCAGGGTATCCTATGACAGATAGTAAGATTCTTTGTTGAACTTGAAACAGGTGGATTTAAACAATACAAAAATTTCGTGTATGAATTTATTTTAAGACAATCGAGCATGGCTTCTTCACAACTTTTATTTGACAATAATACCTCTCATTGTAAGTTGATAGGGTAGAGCTCAGCATTACAGCATTAAAGGAAGCTAAGCACTATTTATCGGGTATTATCACGTACACATGGCAGTGTTTAATTGTATATAAATATTTAATAAAGTTATGAGGTTTTCAGATATGATTGATGAGTACGTCTGATATAATTGTTTTTGAAAAATATATAGCAATAAATTAATATAGTTAACTATTAATCTTGCTGAACTATCAGTCTTGTGAGCTTTAATTTCCTTGTATGCCCTGGATAAGTAAGTATTATCAACTATTGAACGCAAACTACTTGATCTCCTGATATAATCACACACTCTTACCTCTCATACTTTTTTAGCAGTTATTCAGTTCTTAATTTAATACTAAATTTTGTATTATTCTTAAAATCAGTACAATGTGGTTCATTATTTTAGCAACCTTCTACCTTTTTAATGTATTAATTTTTATCAGTTAGTCTTCAAGGCTTTTAAAACTTTTTTTGTAGATATTGATTTAAGTCCTAGAGAAGTCTCAAAAATCAGTGACAAAGTATGAGCTTGCTATAAACAAAAAAGTTTGGCTTATAAAAAACGTTGTTAAATTTATTGTTTGTTTAACAAAGCTTATCCTTAGAGTAATAAGCAGGTCTTAATTCTTGGCTCTTTGCAAAATTTAATGGTTGTCATTCTATTTTTATAAAATACAATTGTTTAATGAAAATTTTAAAGCTGATTTAGACGATGCAGGTACCATTAACGAATATCTTAGGACAGCAATAAGCTTACGAATAAACTAATAAACGTCTTATAAAAAACATTTAGAAAAAATCCTCGATTTTCTTAACCTTTGGCTCTATACCTTATTTGAATTAACGTGGAACCTCAAAACATAATGTAAGACAAAATTTTGTAGCAAAGTACTTCTTCGCACCTATAGATACTTTTTGAGCCAACATATGGTCTACAGTAACAGAATATAATAGCTTTGGTTAGAAATTATCTTAAACATAGTAACTTTTGATTTTAGTAATATTTTGACACATGATAATGTAAAAAATTTAAGGAATGTGTGGGAGGTCCTATTCCCCAAGATTTTTGTACATGTGGCCTAATGCAAGAATATCAGTCATGGGAGGTGAGCAAGCAGCTAGCGTAATGGTACAAATTGCAAAGGATCAGCGCAAAACAGAAGGAAGAGAGGTAAGCGTTAATATTATCTATTTGGCTTTATGATTAAAAAAGCTCTTATACTTCCTTAACTAAAAATTACTAAATATTTTCTAAACTTAAAAAAATTTAATGGTTATTCTTCAATATATTAAAAAGACTCATATTTTTTAAAGAAAAAGACCTTGTGTTGAAAAGAAATATTTGTAAAATATTATGATTTTTTTCATATACCAGGAGAAACAAAATGTAAGTGCATAAAAAAGTATGTTTTTTAGTTAGTATTTTATGCGTAATAATGTATGTTTTCAAACTTCTTGAACGTACTCTACATATCTATAATTCTGAAAATTAAAAAAGTCACATATTTTGACTGGATATTAATATCTTGGACGTTTTTTACGATATTTTTTAAATTCATGTTAAGAATGTATCCCTCACGTATTTACCATATCAATTTGCTTGTAAATCGTACAGCTGCTAGCTGTTACTTACTCAGGTCTCGAAAGTTTTTACAATCAGTGCCTTATAAATAAAATAACAAAAAGTCTTAGTTTAATTTAACTCGTTTTAACATTAAAACAATTTTGAAAAGTTAAATCAAAAGCTTAATGTTCTTAACTTATTTTAGACAAATAAGTGGCAATAATACTCAGAGAGTACAAAGAAAAAGAAACATTAGGACGTTACGTAGAATCCCTCAGGCCTAAGATACGCCTAAAAAATGTGTGCTTATGAAATTCAGAACACTTTAATCTAATAGCGTACGTAATCTTTCAATTTCAATCATTTTTTTGTTAAACTGCAAATCATGTTAATATACAGAGAATCAATTTACTTTCTGATCAATACTAAGAAACGAAATGACTCAAGGTAAAATATATACTTATTTCACGCTTAGCTAATAAAAGTTTTAGATTTAGCTGGCCTGATTTTTTTACTGTAGTATTCCTTGACATTTAGAAGCAATGTTAATACTAGTTGACTCGTACAAAATAGCTCAAAAAGTTCTAAGCTATTTAAAGAAATTACGCATCAATAAGATTACTTTTTGACTAAAATTGAAAACAACATCCCTCTTATTATCTTAACAACTAAACGAAATGCGTATAATGATAACAGTCTGCACTGCAATTAGACTACATATCCTCTTATGCTTTATCAATTTTACAAAATAATTTAAGACGTAGAGGCTTAATTAGTTAAAAAATAAACAAAAAGTAAGCCAGATTTAGGCGTCCAAAAACTCGTTTATCTTCTACCATCACTGAAAGTACGACTTTGATTCGTACGTTCAGGAAAAAAAGTGCAATGTTTTTTCTAGGTATAGAATCGCATTAACTGCTTGAAATACAGAAGTTTTTATACTTTCTGCACAGTTGACTCCTTTACCTCTAGCTTGAGAGGCAAGTTCCTTACAGAGAATGCCAAAATAATTTTGTTCAACAAAAATTTAATCAATGATAAAGCTCTTAATATTCAGATGCCTGTCTGATCCCAAATTTTTCTGCTCAGATTTCTTAGTGTGCGTTGGAAAATGCCTGTAAAGCTGATTTTTTGGTGCTCTGCCATTTGAGCTCGCGTTAAACAGTTTAACTTTGGGCTGAAATATCTCGAGATTTTGCTCCACTTGAGACATAAACAAGGACGACGTTGGATTCAGTAGATCAAAATTTATTAAATGGAACATATTTCATTCTGTAGGTTTTTGCAAGGAAGCTACCTTAAGTATCTTTCATTGATATGTACTTAATACCAGATTTATTGCACGTCAAAGCTCTTAATATTCAGATTCCGGACGAGCCCCCAAAACTGTTACACTAACCAGTAACAATCACAACATGTTACTTTACAAAAACAAACCAAACTTTGTTGGCAGAAGTAAGCAGAAGTAATCAGCTCAAGGTTACAATATTGACTAGGCTATTATTGTTTTATCAACAACGTCTAGCAATGCATAGCAATATCTTGTGAAAGTATACCCAACTACATATCTTACTACATTATAAAAGTGTTTTAAAAAGATCATTCAACAAAACCCTTCCTCCACCCCCATATCTACCTCTTGGCCTTCCTCCTCCCCCTCTAAATAAGGTAAGATTCTCACAGTATTTACGTTACTATAATTTAGTTGAATTTGAAGATAGCCACTATCCACCACTATAACTACTCCTTAGCCCCCCACTTGATTTTGATGAGCCCCCGTTAGACACTTCTTCCCCCTTATCAGCCACCATCTAAATAAGGTAGAATCCTATTAGCTTTTACCTTATCTTGATTAGGTTATATTTCTGTGCTGTCTACCTTCTGCTCCCCTTCACCCCAAAATATTTTATAATCCAATAATAGTATAACCCAACACAATTTTAAAGACGTCCCTCCTGGCACCCATTTGCTACATCTTCAAGATGATATTTTATCGGTTTTAATATCATTCTTAGTTATATTGTATTTTACTGTCTACTACTCTGTCTCTCTCTGTCTTGCGTGTACGCCACGCGCTTCCTCCTTCTAACGCTGCAACTCTACCTATATATGTTACAAGTATGTTTGCTTCTACGCTACGACTTAATTAATGGACTTACTAAAGCTGAGGTAAAGATATGGAGACAAGAGACTGAAAGAGGAAAACAACAGCTATACATATGCTAGAGGCATAGTATACGTACGTATATCGTATACATATAAATATGTTGTATATTGTGAGCTTCGAAGGAGTAAATAGCAGAACCACCGCTGTTTGGTGCAAAATCTGCAAGGCGTATATATTCATACATATACTTTGGCATAAACAACGATTGAAATCCTGTGTTAATTATAATAGTTGTGACAGCTAATCAGCTAGTGTCCTGCATTCTGCTGCTCCCTTCCTTGAAGTTCACTAGCTGCATGTCCTGGTCCACGCGGGAATTCCGTACCTACGTATTGAAACATAAAATAATAATAATGTTATTTTATTTTTTTTCATACCTGCTTCTTAGAGACCTGTTTAAATGAGGTTTAATCTAATTTAATCAGCTTCTGTTATACCAAGTTTCGTTTATTGTGATTTATTTTCATTTATGTTTATGGTTATTAGTGACAGACGGTAGTAGAACACTAACACTAATGTACGTGTATGCGTATACATACGCAAGTGAAACTCTCTTACTTGACTAGAGCAGTTAGAGAACTAGCTACAAAACACAAGTTGAGTTGTTAAAACTTGAAATGAATCAGTATGAAATTTTAAAAGTGAACTGATTGAGCTGCAGAAAAATCGTGGCAATTCGTATGTTTAGCTTGATGATGTGCAGCAGTAAATGGAGGTCACACTACGCTTGCACAGGGGACTTATGAGAAGACACTTAAGCAGTTAATGGCAACTTCTTTTGATTTTGCCACAACTACTACAATCGTTCCAACTACCACAGACATCACAGTCAATATAAACTCAACAGACTCAACATGCATCTTTTTGGCAATCCCTCTCTAATGGTTTTGTGGCAAGCTCATTCCCATTTCTTAAATTTCAGATTGACGAATATGATGGTAGTTAATAATTAGGAGATTTTTCTAGTTATTTTCGTTTGATCGCCAAATTAAATGGTTTGGATGATAACAGAAAAATTGTTGCACAAATTTCTTGTCTACATTGAAAGGCGAGATCGGTGTTTGATAATTTTTTAGAGACAGAGGAACTATTGGATTTGACTTCAAAACCTTAGATTTGTTCTGGAGGAAAGTGTTTAACAAAAACATATTATTCTCAACTACAGAATTGAAAACATGATCTTGATAAAGATTTTTCAAGCTTAGCTGCTCATTAGTATAAGCTAGTTTTAGTAGTTTACCCTAAGTATTCGCTTACTACTTGAGATAAAATTGCTTCTTCGCAGTTCATTATTCTGATTGCTGATAATTTCATTAGAAAGAAGCTTTAGTTAGAGAGGATCAAATCTCTGAGAGTTGCTCTTCAATAGGTGATTGAGGTTAAGTTATGTCACCATTGTTTAGTGCTGGAATTGCAAAAAGAAGGGTCATGTGAATTACAACTGTCCTCAACTATATGCGTTTAATTGGCAGAGAAAGTTAGTTTTTTTGAACTTCCTGGAGTAAGTTAAGCAATAAACAAGCAAGATTCTTTAAATTTAGACTTGATTAACAGGAGGATGAATTAAAATTCTAGTAAATTTATATTAAAAGGTACTTTGAATAGTAAAATAAGTAATTTTGAATTATGTTCTAGTTCTAATATAACCATTTTGAATTAAAAATTTGTCAATTCAGTTTATATTAACATGACCATAAGTTATGTGACACTGACGTATTTAACTGGTTAGAACGCTCCTGTAATTTGTAGGGTAAGAGAATCTGTAGTTCTAGGAAAATACGAGGTTATAATGTTTTTGTTTGTAGTGGATATGGTTGATGATTGTATTCTTGAGAGTGATTTTATTCATAAGGTAGGTTCAACAGGTAATACTCAAATTTAGATAATTGAGTAATCGATTTGCAAGATGAATATAATGCGCTTATTTAACAGATTATAAACTTACAGGACATCACCAGTAATAAAATTTTGCTGATTTGCTAACGAAATGTACAGATATTTTTTAAGGTGACAATGACGTGGAAAAATGTGATTTGGTCAAACATGAGATAACCTTGAAAGAAAGAACAAGACCCATTAGATAGCAACTTAGAAAAATATCTATTTACAAACAAGAGGACGTTGACATTCTTAGAAGAGAAATAAAAAAACCAGAAGTTATTGAAAAATTATCAAACTCCTGGTGTTTTTCAGTCATCTTTATGAAAAAGAATGATGGATCTACAAGATTTGGGGTTGACTTTCAAAAAGTCATTGCAACAACGATTAAAGATTCAGATCCTTGACCATGACTTGGTGATATTTAGACAAACTATCAGAAAAATCGTGGTTCTCTACATAAGATTTAGAAAGTGACAACTGGTAAGTGAAAATCAGGAATTTAGATGAAGAGATCATGGTTTTTTTTATTGAACAACAATAGTGGCAACTGAAAGTCATGCTATTTTAATTATGTTATGCACCAACGACTTCTAATTAACTTATGGAAAAAGTACTTAAAGAATTTTTGCATGAAATCTGTTTAGGTTATTAAGATAACATTATACTTCTAGCAGATTTGTTTAAAAAAATAAAAGTGTATCTAGAAAAAGTATTCCTTCAATTTTAAAAAGCTGATCTTTATTTTAATTTAAAAAATGTGATTTCCTTAGTGAAAAATTTGATATCTTACTTACATCGTATCAAAAGAAGTAAGAAAGTCAGATGAACAAAATATTAAGACTGATTTAAAACGGTTAATTTTAAAAACAACCAAAACGTACGTCGGTTTTTAGAATTTTTCTCGTACTACACTCAAATAATAAAAGGCTTGTCAGATATAACAAGACCTCTACATAGTTTGAGATTAAAAAATAAGCTGTAATAAATAATCATTGATGGGAATGCAGATAGATTATCCAGACAACTACCTGAAGATAAATTCTGCTCATACTACGATCTTGTTAAACGAAAGTATAAAACATAGAGTAAAACAATTAGTTTAATTGTTTTTGTTTAAGAAAAAGGATTAACTTGGCAAAAAAATCGAATGGAAGATGAAGCAATGGGAATTATTATTAATAATAAGAGAGTTAACACTTAATTAAATTAGCAGAAAATTTCATTAAAAATTTTATTCACAAAAGTATACTGTAGTCAATAAGATTAATTCGATTCTAATGATAGAATTTTATATAAAGAATGGACTTCTCGAAACTTCATAACCAAGACTTAACCATTAGTCATACCAAAAAAAATGGACAAAAAGCTTGCGATTCACCTATAGGATCTATATACCTATATATCTATAGGACCTACTACTATGAAGATACATACATAAATTAGAAATGGGCTCACTAATTGTTTTCTGTTTCCATGAGTGCTAAGAAATACTTATTTATACCTCAAGTATTATGCGCAAACAATAGTTGTGCTATTTGGACCAATAGCCCACTTGTGAAACGTACCACGACGTTTCAATAAGAATGACATGTGAAAAAACCCGAGGATGTGTTTATTTCTTGAAAGGAGTGTGAACATATTTGAAAAATTGGTATTACTAGATGCTCGTCATATATCTCGAGCTACTGAATTGAATAGAATTATCAGATTTTGTGGAATTAATGGAGAAAACGTTTATGAACAAAAAACACTGACACACTTGAAAAATTCTGGAAAACAGTTAATATAACTGATTGTAACAGCAATAATTTCTATTTATTTAGTATTTTTTACGTTGTTTTTGACATGTTTTGAGATGCTAAGTCAAATTAACTTATTAGATTCAACAGATTGAACGTAAGAAAAAATACTTACCAAAACAGTTTGGGAAACTTGGAATGTAATTAAAACTTAGAATTAAGAATTAAGAATAACTTTTATTAATAATATTTGTATTACTGCATTTTTAAGATTATTTCAATGTATTTTGTGCTGTTATATAAAGTATAAAGTACAAGTATAAATAAGGTTTTTATGAATAATATATTAAGACTAACTTATTTGAAATGAAGAATACAAGGAATAATTATTATTAGGATCTAATATTTTGACATGAATCGTTATACATATGCTTTAATGGAGTTTCTTTGTTGAAATCAAGTTACAACTTCGATAGTCTTTTATCCCTGATAGGCATTGTGTTTGCTGTTTATCATTCGTTATTAGTTTATCCAAGCCTGTCATAAGCCTGACTTCTCTCTCAGTAGCATTATTAACAATTTTTAAGTTATTTATAATTATCAAGCCAAGAACTAAACTTCTTTCTTTCGTTCAACTACATGGATTTTTTGATAATAATGATATGATAATCTTAAATCGTTTGGAAATCTTAAGACTATCTTTACTTATGAGATTACTAATGCTTGAATGAACCTAATCAGTTATACTTATAGGAGATGTGAGTCTTATTTTTCACATGCAAAATCAGTGGATTCTAAATTTAGCTTTTTCAGAAACTCTAAAATTTGATAAGGTGCTTGGGTAGTTGACGATGAACACAACTCTGCTTGAATGTATTTTTTATAGAAAAAATACGTACATTTTCATATGACATCTCGTCTTCCCTCCCATTCAAAGAAACGCTTTTCTAAGGAGAAATATTTCCAAGCTGTACATAGCTTTGGCCATTTATCTTGCATGAAAATGAGCACCAGAAAAATAAAACATAATACCTTTGAATAATTGCTTCCTAAGAAAGACTCTGACTAGTTTTAAACATATTTAATAATCTATTAGCTAACTTGATATGTCTATAATTGATTTAAGCAGAACTTTTAAACGATATTTTTGATATCTTGTAAAGATTCTTTTACAAAATTATCTGTTAAACCTGACTAAAGTACTTTAATTTTAAGATTTCTAAAAAATTAGAAGCTTTCTAGAATTTTGAACGTCAGCTCCAGTGGTACTGCCAAACATTTATTCAAAAACACATCACAACAATAACATATATATGTAATGCCTGCAAATAAAAAATAAAAGTTTGTTATTTAATAACCTTTCCAGGATTGTGAAAAACCTTTCGTCCAATTAGTGTTACCACTTATTTAGTTGCAACACAGAGCTTCAACGTTATTTATTAGAGATTAATTGACCAATCTTTCATACACGACATTAGTTTGATTTTCCGATGTGTCTGTCAAAATTCTGGGTACACCCCATATTTGCTCTATTTCTCCGCTTGTAACAGTTACTGCCATCTTATTGATTTTTAGATTTTGTGACAGCCCTTTGAATGCTTTCCCATCCAAATGAACAATAGCTGGTAAATCAGTGAAAAGCTTTGGAGTGAGTTCCTTTATGTACAATTTTTGTAGCTCTTGTTCTTAAGGAGGTGTGAAATTTAATTCTTGAAATGCAATTTTTCGTCAAAGTATCCCATTTAATTTTTTTGAAAGTAAAGATTTAAAATCATAGATTAATCAAATAAACAACGTAACAATGAGATTTCAGCATTAATTTCTTAGTTGTCAAGGAAGAATACGTCAAAAGTTTTTTCTTGATTATTAAAAACTTATTCTACTATTTTAAAACTTTTGTTCCTTTTGTTTTTTATTAGAAGTTAAGATAGATAAATGAAATTTTTTTAAATGTATTTTGTTTTTGTTTGTCCTCAACTTCTTAGGAATATTGACAATTTTCACTAAAGATGTAAAAAATTATTGGTTTGTATTATCTACATTCATAGTGACTTAATCCGTTGAACTTTGCATTTCATCACACAACTCCCCCGATGCTGGACTTATGCTTTCTGTTTTTACCATTGCAGGAAGCTCACTTGTTTGCAAAGCTAAGAAACATTATATATCAGTTATTCTGATTAAAACTTTAAATATTTTAATAGAACATTTATTTGACTTTTCTTATAAATCTCACATAAATCAAATCTCATGCAAAAGGAGACTTTGTTTGTATTGTAACGAAATTAAAAATATTTCTTTTTTTATAGTTCTTAAAATAAACAACAAAGATTATTTAAAGCGATAGTACTAAAGTTTACTTTTACTTTTAATATAAATAAAATGAAATGAGTACAGTATTCAATATGTAAAGAAGAACATGCAATGAGAAAATATGAAAAAATCTGTTCTAACTAAAAAATTAACTTTTAATGTTAAACTTTTTAATGCAGTTAGAATAAAATAAATTGTAGAAAAAAACAAAAGTTTTTCATTTATTTATTATTAGTTATGGTTTGCTTTTACATCTAAATCACGTGTTCAAGATTGGGAATAAACGAGGTTTTAAAAAATAAGTAAGAATTATTTAGATTACCTCTTTGACTTATCAGATATTCTTGAAAATTTTTTTTTAGTCAAGAGTGCATTAACATAATTTATGTTGTACAACTTCTTAAAGCTCTCTTTCCAAGTTTTTCTTTGCTTGTGAGGAAATACAATATTTTTAGTGCCTTCCATTTTATCAATGGTCGAAATGCAGAAAAAGAAAACAGCGATCTGTTGAAGGCGTATGTGAAAAACAAATACAAAACAGTATTATATCTTCCTTATTGATTTATATTTGGTAACGTTCCGCTGGCTGGTGTGCCAGCCTCATTAGGCTAAAGCTAAAAAAAAAAAACGCACTTTTATGAGAAACACACAAACGATGTTACACGTATGAAGGTTGAGAACAAGGATTACCTATTTTAGACCAATATTAACATTAAAATTGACAAAACTTGCAAGTACAATACATTTAAAATTCATTTAGTTGTTTTAAGAACCACATGTTCTCTTGTCAGCGAATAAGTATTAACTGTTGATCGAGCTGCATGAATCCGCACGGAAAAAGATAAGCACGATGAACCAAAACCGAGTAGGAAAGGAAGATAATGAGCTCGTGGTACAGGTATTTAAGTTCCTTCAATATTGGAAAGTATGCACGATTAAGCAAACATGTGTCCTCCTCTATATCAATACTATGTTTATTATGTTTCATTTGTATAATCGCAGAGATCAGCTTTTTATGGTAGTTAGATTCTCTGTCTACAATTTTCATAT